TGCACATCCCTTTTCTGCCCCTCCAGATCCACTCTGTGTCATGCTCCATGTCCTGCAGTGGGACCTGTAGGGCTGAATCAGCAGGCTTCTTGCCCTCTGAGTTCCAGGTGGTTTCAGCAGAAATCAGAAATCAGAAGGTCGGAAGGAAGAGGATGAAGCTGCCTTTCTACAGGGACATTCTGGCCAGCTCTGTCCCTCTACCAAAGGCCATAGCTCTTGATGGGTGGCTTATCCACCCTATGTACCCTCCCCATGCCTGAGTCGATCTGCCTGCAGACCACCCACTGCGCCTCTTCCCTGATGTCCTTTCCCCTCCTGCTCCTCTGCCTGGCATGCTCTTCTGCAGATATCTGGGCAGACAACTCCCTCACCTGCCTTGAGCCTGATCACAATGTTTAATACAGCAACCTGCCTCCACCTCTCAATCCCCCTTCTCTGCTCTACTGTTTTCTCATAGCATCCTCCACCTTATTTATTCGCTCTGTTTATTGTTCTCTATATGCCCCCCTCCCCCACAATGAGGACCACCCCTTCTCCATGCAGGGAACTTTGTGTGGTCCACTGATGTATCCCACACACCTGGACCCATGCCTGGCATTGAGCAGGGGCCCAATGAACACTTGATTTTTTTTTTTTTTTTAACTTTTGTTCCTGACGATTACAAAAACTTCCTGCAATGAGTAAGAATGACTTCATGTGATTTCCCTCCCCAGATTTGAAAAAGCACAAAGTCTGTTTCTCAACAGAATGAACCCCATGTTCCACAAAGTTCCCACCCCACATGGCAGCAGATACTCAGCCTCGTGTGGCCTGATTGACACTTATTGGAAGTTCACTCATCAGAAAGTTAATGCTGCATCAAGAAAACCAATTTTGAAAACCAGCTGTTCCTCCAAGATGGCAATTATTTACAGCTGCCCACACTGATGAGTGATGCCCTGAGCCAAATTAATTGCAGATCAAATGAGCAAAAATGTCTTCTACTTCTCAATTGTATGAGGCTCCAGAGCCATTTTAATAGATTGTCAAAATCTCAGTAAAAATAATGAAAAGAAATAGGAAAATTCTTTTTGTTAGGCAATTATCTCAAAGGGTTAGGTGAAATAGTATATATATTTGGAAACAAAGCAATAAAAACTTTGGGAAGTGCAAGAGATTTACTGAATATTGACTCTGTTAGCAACAGGAGAGTGGCTTTCACATGCTTTGAATTTTGTTTCCATGACAATTCTGTAAGGTGCTGTATTAGTTTCCTATTGCCGCTGTAACAAATTACCACAAACTTAGTGGTTTAAAACAACACAAATATACTATCTTATAGTTTTTAAAGTCAGAAATCTGAAATGTCTCACAGGGAAAAAATCACAGTGTTAGCAGGGTTGTGTTCCTTCTGGAGATTCTAGGGGAGAATTCATTTCCTTGGCTTTTCCAGCATCTGGAGGCCACCCATGTTCCTTGGCTCCAGTGGCCCCTTCCTCCATCTTCAAAGCCAGCAATGACGTCACTTCTGCCTCTGCTTCCATTGCCACGTTTCCTTCTCTGACTCTGACCTTCTTGCCTCCATCTTTCACTTATAAGAACCTTGTGGTTAAAGTGGCTCCCACCCTGATAATCCAAGAAATCTCCGCATCTCAGGATCTTGAATTCAAGCACACCCACAAAGGCCCGTCTGCCACGTAAGACAACATATTCCCAGCTTCTGAGAAACAGGAGGTGGACTTCTTTGAAAGCCACTGTTTTGCCTAACACAGGTGGGCATAGTTATGTCCATTTTCAGATGAGCAAATAAATTCAGAGATGTTGGGTAATTTTCCCAAGACCACTCAGCTGTTCATGATCAGAATTTGAATTCAGAGTATCCCAGTCCTAAAGCCAAAACTCTTTCTCCCCAGCACAACTTTCTATCCCAGACTCCCAGCCTCATGCTGAATTTAATCTCATGGTTTTCCAGGGACTAGGGTAAATGCTCCCTTTTTAAGCACTGTTTCCAATGGACTATTCTTGCCTCTCCAGCTCTTTTAGAAGACAAAAGGGAAACAGGCTGCCAGGGTCCTTATCTTCCCTGGACCTAACTGCTGCTGGTTTTTCAGCTCTTGGCTCCCTTGTCCTGCAGGAAGCCGTCCTGGAACCCCTCACAGGAGAGCTTATCTCAGTGTTGCACATGGCAATTGTTTGCGGATCTTTCTCTCTGGATCACGACGACTTCACTGGTGATCTCTAGTACTGTGTAGGTGCCCCTTAGGTGTGTGTGGAAAGGATGAATGCGTGAATGAATGAATCCACCACCAGAGCTCTGGAGCTATCACTCCCTGCACCTCTAGAATAGTGCCACATCATTCCACCTTGAGTCAGAGCCTCCCCCACTGGACTGTGAGCTCCTGTAGGCAGGCACCATGGTGATGGCCAGCACAGGGTCAGCAGCCTGGCCACAGGAGGTGCTGACAAGAACTTGCTGAAGGGCACCATAGGAACTGACCATGGTCCAAGTGGCTGAGATCCAGCACGGCCTACACATGAAGGCAGTGGTAGGGACACTCCCCAGAGGCTACAACTCTGGAGTCCTGAATTTAGAAAGGTCCTCTCCTCTCCCAGGAGAGTGAAGTCATTTGCCCTCCTTTCTGGGATTAGCACCTCCAAGGAATACTTTTCCAAATATTGTCAGCTTTTAATGAAGATGATCTGCCAGTCAGAGAGAGGGGACCAGAAGGGGTCACAGAGACCAAGGCTGGAAGCATCACCACTCCCTGAGTCTGCTCCTCTTTCAAACCAGGGTGAAAACTGGACTTTCAGGAGTGATGTGAGCATCCGTGAAATCCCACATAAAGCACTGCAGGGTCCTGGGGGGCAGTCAAGGCCTTGTGACATCATTTCTCTTCACTCCCTCAGGTTCTGACCCAACTAACTCTGTGACCCTGTGTAAGTCACTTCTTTGGTTCTTGGTTTTCTCAACTGTCGAAAGATTGCAAGAGTCCCTATAAAACCTGCCCTATCCTAGGATGTTCATGACAGCCTTACTTAAAATGGCAAATTATGGGAACCTGCCTAAATAGGACAGGAACAGTTAACATCTACTGGGTGCACATCATTTGCCAGGCAGTACTTGAATCATTCAATGCACGTCCATGTGTTTTACCCTCAGCCCGTCCCTATAAGGCATGGACAATGTCCTTACAGAAATGGGGAAACTGAATCACAGATGTTGAATAACTTATCTGGGGTCATGTAGCTCAAAAGGAACAGAGCTAGGGTTGGAACTCAGGCTGTGTGGTTCTGCTATCCAGGTTCTCAGCAGGGATGCTCAACAATCCTACCCCATAGAAGACCATTAGAAAAATTACCTATAGCAAATTTTTGGAGAATGATACGGCTTTCAGCACAGGTATTAATTCAGAGGGATGTTGATATGCATAATTTTCTGTATCTATGGTATATACTTCAATTAAAAAATAATCAAGCAATAAATAAAAAAGTGAAAAATCATTCCGATATAATATTACATGAACAAGACCAGGATTGAGATTAGTATAAAGTACGGAATTACTACTGTGTAACAGTAAAGCATACGAAGACACTTCCAAGGTTTGTGAAAAAATAAAATTGAAGGATAACACAAATATTTCCATAAACTTTTAGAAGTACCCTCATACATTTATGCATAGAATAAAGACAGGAAAAATTTGCCAAACTTCATGGGGTAGCACTTTATAGGTCATTTCTTCTCTGTTTCTCTTTTTCTGAATTTCACAAATTTGCACTAATAAGCTGGTATTGATGTCTTAAAACAACAAAAAACCCTGTACTTTTCCAATTATTTTTATCCCAGACTGACTACATTCTTCTGCTGATCTAAGTAAAAATTAATAAAAATTGGGTTCAGTCTGTAACTCAGACAGGAATTTTGGGAAACTCCCAGACAGTGAAACATTGAAATAGTCTCCCTGTAACCAAAAGACCGTGAAGTGGAGGGGAAAGAGACCAAACGTCACTCCTCTACATTTTTTACGATAGCCATTTTTTAAAAGCATCTTGTTAGGATCACCCATTAAGAGCAAGAAGCAAACCACAGTGTTTTGTGGAAAGCATGTCAGAAATACGGTCAGAATGCCTCAGTTTGTTTGCAGAGGCATCAGTCTTGTCGGTCCAAATCAGCTAGCAAGAGTGAAAATAAGTGAGTTTCTCCATCAAGTCAGAGAATGTTACCCTCTGATTTTAGCCTTCTCTCTATTCATCTGGTGGAGAACCCCACTGTGTACCATGTGCCTGAAATGTGAAGCACAGACCGCACCCCTAGAAGGTTGGAGAGACACGAACAACTCCTAGAGGGAAACTGAAGGTCAGAGAGGTTGAGTGCATTGGACAACACTACATGGCCTAGAAGTTCAAGAGCCAGAATCCAAATCTAGTCTGGTCTGATTCCAAAACCTGGGAAGTTTCTGCTAGATTCTGAAGTTTCCCAACTTTTCCCCCCAAGTGTTTATTTTGCATATTGGAGGTTGAGAAAGAGCGATGAGCTCTATGTCTCTCTTCTTTTGAACGTTTTTGCTTATTAGTAAATCACCTTCTCTATGATATGCTTTCTTCTTTGCCTTGAAAACTCCTACAGGCTTAAGGGTGATGAGACGACAGCTAGTGGTTCTGAAACATGTTAAAAGCCATATAACAAGAGAGTGGAGACTCACACAGACTCTCTGATCTGAACCTCCAGGGACGATGCTGTGCTCTTTCACCGGGTGTTCATATTGTATTTACGACTAGGAAAGAGTTCAAAGGAGGAAACTATTCATTAAAAGAAAGGGAATAGGGAAGCAAAATATGGACAGGAATATTCTCTGGATGGGTAAAATGTCAGTGAAAAACTGCATGATGAACTCCTAAAAGCCAGACACCATCAAGTGTCAAAGTACATGCCCTGTAAAGGTATGCCCCTTTGTCACCCGGAGTCCCTGTCGTGCTGTCTACCCACCTGTAGTGTTCCATGGAGTGACACTCCACTGACTTACCGAGAAGGTGGCAGCCAAAATCTCAATGCCACCCGTGCTCAGAGTGATGTATGGGATCTTTTCTGGAGGGATCCCAGCTTTTCCAAAGATGCTATTGGTGTAGAACCAAATCTATAAGGCAGGAAACAAAAAGAAAGGAGAAAGGTCAGTGGGAGGCCCTCATCTATTTTCTAAATTAAACTCAGGTATAAGGTGGTCTCTGAATTTCATTATCTTAAATCCAGAGTCACAGGTGGAGCTGTGTGGTGTGGCTGCTCATTTTTTGCCCCCCTCCCACACTTTCCCTTTCTTCCTTGCTAACAGGACTCCCTTGTTACCGGGAGTAACACGTGCTCAGCTAAAAGACTGTACTCGCCAGAATCCCTTGCAGCTAAGCATGGCAATGAGATAGAAATAGAAATGTTGGTGGGGCTTTTAGGAAGCCTCTTTTTTTAAAAAAGAAACTTTTAATCAAGGAGGTATGCTCCCATCTTTTTTTTTTGTTTTCTCTTCCTCCTTTCTGTTGTCAGGATGGTGGATGTAATAGTGGTAACCCATGGTAACTTTGTGAGAATCAGAAAAAGTCCCCACTCCACAAGACACTTTACTGCCATTGACTGGAAAATTGCCATAATAAATGTACAATGGGTACAATGTGAATGATGCTCCCAAGAGGTGTGCAGTGCACAACCTATGTAACTATGCATGGAGACCCCTGCCTTGGGATGGAAGCCACCTGTTCAGATGCTAGAGCAGAAAGGGGAGTTAGCCTGTGTCCTCACCAACTAGAGTGGTTTTATAATTTGTTACCCAATCTTAGGCACTTTTGAGAGTGTTAACAATTCTTCCAGTACAACAGGCATACTTTGAGGCTGTCATGGGCAAATCAGGATGTGTGGCCCTGGAGTTGCTGTACCAACTCTCCAAACTTATTTCATGTGAGAGAGAAAACCTTCCATATTGCATAGGTCACTGGAGTTTCTGCCACATGAGGCCAATCTAATCCTGCCTGACATAGCCATCATCAGATGGTCACTAATTAGGAGATTAGAGACCTGACTCTGGCTTGAACTAGTTGTGTGACTTCAGGCAATTTATTCCCCCCCACCCCCCACCCCCCGTCAAAAGGACACAGCCATGCCTACCCTGTCTGTCCCGTGAGGGTCAGGAACTGGGTGAGAATTGTGACTACTTATTATTTACTTTGAAGCTTTCGATCAACACAAATAATTTCTGTGTTCTCCACATGCCAGTCATTTCCTTACAACGAAGTTTGCTAAATGATGGAAAACATGCTGTCCTAATATATGAATTCTGATAGGAAAACCTGCTGCCTAGAAGGACCTTAGGGATGTCTGTGAACAGTGGATCATTATTCAGCAGAAGTGTTAGAGCTCATTAGAGCACATTGCTCATAACCTGCCACGCCCGACTTGGCCAGGCATTCTCTTAAACTTGCCTTTTTGTTTCTGGATGAAGATCTTATTTCTACAAATTTGTCCTGCTACCAGCATATGCAGTTGGGGAAGATTTAGGACCTACTTATATCTACATATGGTACTTTTTTTAGTGAAGGAAGTAATTCTTTACAATTACTATGCACATCTAGAATAGTCAGTGAAAACTACTGCACAAATTTCTTTGGACTTGTGGGTATTGATGCATCTATTGGCAGAAATGGGTTATAATGTTTATGTAAAACAAAGACCCTCCTGTCCAGTGTCTGCCTCTCATTTGAGTGAGCTGGGGAATTAGAACCTTAGACTCATCTTCAGCTTGAAGTTTGCTGTCACAGCCAGAGTACAGAGGTTGCTCCCAATAAATTCATTAATTCCTATCACTCTTAGAGCTGTAATAGAAGCTAACTTATTCCCCAAACCCAGTTTCCACTAGATTTGTTTATATAATCTATTCTCTTTTTGAAGATAACTATGATCCCCAGCACACCTTCAGGGCTGGATTCCAGAAGGTTAAGAGCCTTTCTTAATCTTCACCCAAATTCACTGGTTTTCAATGGCCAAGACTCTCTATGCGGCCTTTTCATCTCCCCAGGCTGCCCTGTGGTCACCTCTGACATTTGTATTATTCACATCCTTGGTTCTGAACCCCACCCCTGACCCACTTGTGTTCCTGAGGCTTCCAGCCTCGGATCCCACTCCTCATGTGTCCTCCTGTGGAAGCCACACACTGGACCCCCCCGTCCTGCTCAGCACCTCCTTCCTGCCTCCTCTCACTCCCCACGACCCCTTTCTTCCCTGGTTCCAGTTCTTCCTGTAGTGACACTGCCATGGACATCCCTTGGCAGGTTTAAATGTTAGTGGAGAGAGTCATCAGGCACAAAATTCTATGCTCATCGAGAAACAGTTATAAAAATGCACTAAGAACCATCTAGTTCTTAAATTTCATTTATGCTTCAGAGGCAGAAGTTGGCCCACAGACCCTTTCCTCCAGTCCAGGACCTGCAGGGGAGGTCCTGCTGGGCTGGCCGTGTCCCCAGCAGGAAGGCCTGGACATCACACAAGCTGCTGGTCTTCTTGATATTCTGCTTGCTCCAGAAACCCACTTTCCTCTCCCTCCAATATTTTATAGAGTAGGAAGGTGGCTTTACCTCTGCTCACTCTGAGGTTTATTTGATTGGACAGTTTGAAGTCCTTGAATCACAAGGTAGCACCCAGGAAATTTGGAGCATGTCCTGCTGTGGACCAGGGTCCCAACCCCAGTGCTGTCTCTTAGGACCAAGTGATTTCATATCTCTGAATCTCCATTCTCCAAAGGAAGGTAATAATACTCTTCCAAGCTTCTTGTAAAAATTTTTAAAATGATGATGTAAAGCATCCAGGATAGTTTCTTTTATATAATCAATGTATAGCAAATGGTAGGCATTATTCTAGAAGGTTCTATCTCTATTGAGACACAATTGCTCCGTGGTTAGGAAGAGCAGCGGGCAGTTGTAAATGTGCCGTGGGGAGGATCGCCCCTGTGTCTGCTTCTCAGACTGCTCTTTCTTAGGAGGTGAATCTTTGAGGAACTTTGCAGGTGGTGGGTTTGGGGTGAGGATTTGGGTCTGTTTAAGTCCCTACCTCTAGAGTCCTAATGCTCTCATTCTTAACTCATAACATAGCGTTTCAGAGATAAGATATAACATACATAATCATTTTAGCCCCCTCACAGCTTGTGAATGTGACAATGCTAAGTATCAGATGAGGCTCCATAGGAGAGAACACCCGATTTATTTTTGCCTAGAACAAAGTGATGCTGTCATAGAGTACGGGTTTAATACTTGCTTGTGGGATGTGGTGGGCAGGACAATGGTCCCCCCAAAATGTCCACATTCTATCTAGGGAACCTGTGAACATCTTACTCTACATGGCAAAAAGGACTTTGCTGATGTGGTTAAGTTAAAGATCTTGAAATGTGAAATTATCTTGGGTTATCTGGATGAGCTGTAAATGTAATCACAAGGGTCCTTATAAGAGGTAGGTAGGAGGACCAGAGTCAGAGAGAGGAGATGTAAGGATGGACACAGAGGTCAGAGATACAGAAATAGAGAGAGATAGAGATAGACAGAGAGAGGTCTGAAGATGCCACACTGCTGACTTTGAAGATGGAGGAAGGGGCCACAAGCCAAGGGATGCAGACAGCCTCTAGAAGCTGGAAAGTCAAGGGAATGGATTACCCTCCTGGAGTCTCCAGAAGAATGTGTCCCTGCTGACACCTGGATTTTAGGACTTCTGACTTCCAGAGCTGTCATATAACAAATTGGTGTTGTTTTAAACTAGTAAGTTTTTGTAGTAATTTCTTACAGCAGTGATATGAAATGATACACTGGATAAAGACATAATTCATATATATTATGTATTTCCTGAGTGTGTGTGAGAGAGAGAGGGAGAGAGAGACAGAGAGACAGAGAGAGAGACAGAGAGAGACAGAGAGAGAGAGAAAGACAGAGAGACAGAGAGAGACAGAGAGAGAGACAGACAGAGAGAGAAAGACAGAGAGACAGAGAGAGACACAGACAGAGAGAGAAAGACAGAGAGACAGAGAGAGAGACAGAGAGAGACAGAGAGAGAGACAGAGAGAGACAGAGAGAGAGACAGACAGAGAGAGAGAGACAGACAGAGAGAGAGAGAGACAGACAGAGAGAGAAAGACAGAGAGACAGAGAGAGAGACAGAGAGAGACAGAGAGAGATAGACAGAGAGACAGAGAGAGAGAGAGAGATGTAAACACGGAGGTGGTCTCCACAAACATAGTGATGTACAGGATCTATTTTGAGGCACAGAAGACAGACAAGACCTTGCTGGTTTATTAAATACTATGTTGCAGAAGCTGTGCTGATGCTTCACCTACTGTTGGGCAGGAACTTCCTTTCCCTTCGTTTGCTGTTCCCATTTGGGGAGCATCCATCAGAGAACAGGCCTCCTCTCAGCCCAAGGGACACGGAGCGGCTGGGCCGGTGGGTGCTGACTTGCGCCCCCTCTGGGCTCTTTCTGTACCTGCCTCCCGCGGGAAGCTTGTGACCTGTCCGCTTCTTTATGCGTGGAGGGGGCTGCCCTGTGGGAGAGGCCTGGGGTTGCTTCCTTGTGCCTGTGACTGCATCACTGCATCAGCACCTTAAATCTGGAGGTGCAGAATCAGCTGCAGCTTCTGAAGTCACACCCTCTAATCCAGCTCCGTTTGGAGTAGAGCTGCCATTCTGATCACCGTCTAGCTCATTCCTGTACCTCTCTCTCTGACTTGTTCTGAATTTCAGACAGGAAGAAAGGGGGCTTATATATTGCATGCCCCCAAACCTATCACCTACATGATCTAACTGCATCCTCACCACAACCCATTGCCTGCATTTAAGAGATGAGGAAACTGAGGCTCAGCCAGGTGAAGGCCACACAGCTATGAGTAGCAGAGCTGGGACTTGAGCCCAGGTCATTCCAAATCTTTCTGCCTGTGGGTGAGAAGGCATCTGATTTCCCTCTGAGCTGGTACGAGGGGGTGCTAGTCCTGCGGAGCACAGCAGGTGCAGTCCACGGGAGAGGTGAGAGAGGACAGAGCGCGTCCACAGAAAGTGTAAGAAAAGGGCCGCTGAGGAGTGGAGCGAGGCCTTCTCCACGGTGGGGTTGGGGGGGGGGTGCTGTG